CAGTTTTTTAATTTCTGATATCTGAGAATCTGAGTTCCATTTGATCATGACTTTCTTGATCTTTCTCTTTTACTTACATTTACTCCTCATATATTTGATTAGTGAATTGATCCTCATTCATTTACTCTGTATGACTGATCATACACTTTTGTATTCAATCCACATTCATTTAGTATCCATTCCATTCCTAATTCTATCACTTCTTGTTTGACCTCATATACTTTCTATGTAAGCCATTCTTGTTATATGAAATCCATTTTTTATGTTCTTCTTCATTTACCCAATTCTAACTTCTGTAAATGGGCATTTTATGTACAACCATTATATTTCTTTCAACAGATATTCATATATTTCAACTAAATTCATTCTGACTACTACCATTTGACCAGCATTTTGACACAAATATTTTCATGGCATTTTTGCATCCATTTCCTCATATTTAATTATTTTCTACCAAGATGTGCAAATGTATTTATCTGATATATTTTTATTATTTACAATGGTGCTTAAAAGTTTGTGAAACTTTTTGAATTTTCAATATTTATACACAAATATGTAACCTAAAGCACAATCTGTTTTCCACAAAAGTCGTATAACTAAATAAAAATTTATTTATAGAAGAATTAATATGAATCAAAAACATTATTCATTTCTTTACTGAAGAAAATGTTCTTTAATTTTTATTAACAAGGCTTGCAAGATTAAATATTTATTTTTAAAACTAACACTGGCTTTATAATGATAATTTGAAGAAAGATTATTTCACCATATTGAAGGTTTTATAGGTGCACATAGACTATTTCATAGCATAATACACATAGCGTTAAATGCCTATATGTCTGTCAAGTATTATCTGCACTGAATAGGTTCATGACCTTGTGTGAAAATCATAATATTATAATGATTTGCTTTAGCAATTAAATGGGTTAACACAATTTATTGTACAATCTTAAATTTTGATAACTACTCATTAAAGCCTGTTTGATTTTGGGATGTTCTGTCTATCTATTTAATAGTATGATCCTTGCTGGAAATGTATTTCAAAATGTTGTTAAACACTTTATAGAATTTTCTTTTTAGGGTTAGGGTTAGAGAGAGAATATATATGGTAACTGAATTTATGAAATTTAATCTGCAAATTCACCTAATTTCAGTTTTGAATGTACGGATGTGAGAACTTCAAACACATTGGTTGTGGAGGGCTACATGATGTTCAGATTTGGCTTTAAATTTGAATATGTCCAACTATTAATTGAATGCATTCATATTTCAGATAGTAGAAAGGAATGGAATTTTTCATAGACTAATTAAAAAACTGTAATTTTCTGCTTTGTTCTGTGATACATGCATGAACTAATAATTTGCTGATATGTTGGCATTGGTAGCAAAGTGTGTTGTCAAGTCACACTGAGTAAATATGCTATAAACTAGCAATATTAAATTTGCATGTTAAATGCAGTTACTCTGTGATTTATGATCACAGTTGGGACTGGAATCTTGGTCATTGAGCAAAGTAGTTGTTAAGTGAGATACTCACATGACCGTTTTGCTTAACAACTGCAATCCTGGTTTTCTCGGTTGTAGCCACTAAGATTCAAGATCTGTGTATGGAAGGGCACTCCTGCTCTAAGCTGGGGAAGTTTATCTCAGATTTTCAAGCTCTAAGCTTTGTTTCTTTAGCCCACACAGGAGTTCACTTCCCACTGTGTACAGAAGGAAATTCCTGAACTAGGATGGACAAATGAAGCTTACATCTTCAGTATCAAAGCTTTGTTTCTTCAGTTCAGTGCAGCAATTCCCTTTCATGCATGGAAGGCAGAAGAATTCTGGTGGGCTTCGGAACCAAAGCTCGGATCCTGAATCTTAATGATTACAGCTGAAGAAGCCAGGATTGTGATCATTGAGCAAAGTAATAATAAAATAAGATCTGCAGTAAAGATCCAGACTTTGTTTCTGCAGCCTGATAAAGAATTTTCCTCCTGTAGATAGAAGGTAGGGGAAATGCTTTGGCAGGCAACATCAGCTTACAGCCTTCTCTGCTGGTTTCCCTGTTGATTTTTTGGGAAACCTCTCATGTATTCTGGACTTCTAGAGGAAGAAATAAAGGACTGAAGATGGTTGCACAAAAAGCGGAGTCAGTGTGGAATGAAGTCATTGACCAATAGACCAGCTCTTTAGTAATTTCTCTCCAGATAAGGAGAAGACATGAGATATCCTAAAGTGCTCCGGACAACTGTTTACTCAAGGTAGATTCAAAATAGCAGTCTCCAGCAAGTTTAAAGATTTGGGACATAAGAGAATAGGCATCTTGCCCAAACTGCAGTAGCTGCCTTTGAAAGAACATTAAGTCCATATACTTCATTTTCTGATCATTTTTAGAAATAGCTTGTTAACTATTTTTTATCTATTAGAAACGTTTGGATCAAGCTTTATAGCAGTTGGTGAATTTCCTTCAATTGTTTTCAAAAATAAAGTTTTAGCCACTAGTTTAAGAACTTATAAAAATATTTTGGAAAAAACAGCAAAATTAAAATTTTGATTTTAGAAATTAAAACAGATTAAGACTGTAAATGAATTTTAAATAAGATTTTGGAATTAATTATAAAGGATTCTTCTCATGGAAAAATTCCTTTGGTTTGAATAAAAAACATAATTAGACACTAGATAGAACTAAGGATTACAATTAAGGGAGTATGCATAAGCTGGACTTAACAATTATTTTTGAACAATGGACTCAGAACTTAATTTTAATAGTGTCAACAGAGACATCTGCCTCTACCGAGAAGCTATGTCTAAAAGATGTAATGGAAAAGGAACAACTTCTATTTGATAAGATCAAGATTGAGTTGAAAGTGAATTTATAAATGACAGCTAAGAATTTCCTGCAAAAAAGATATTATACGGCACATATAGAAGAAACTGGTGATGTTTTAATAATTACAAGGGATATACAAACAATAAATCAAGAGAGTCACCTGGATAATTTTCTTCTATTGAATTTACAAAAGAATCTTGTTAACTTTTTGAAGAAACTTGTGAAAAAGGATAAAGCAAAAATGAAAAGAAATCAAATTCTGAATGGATTAAGATTAAGATTGTTAGAAGTAGAACGGAAGGAATATAAAGTTGATTTATTTGATCAAGGTTAAAATAGATATGTTGTTATTTCTTGTAACCCTTAACAGAATGTTAAGGATATCAGGATTGAAATGATTATCTTTAGAGATTTGTTTATAGGTAAAAGAGATATGGGAAAAAAGGATAATTTGTTGTATTTTAAAAGGAGATGATATATTACTAAAATTGTTTACACTTGTCATGAAGACAGGAATTCACACACACACACACACACACACACATTCTTTACTATATTTTTTCTCTTGTTTTAATTTGCATTAGTTTTTAGTGTTGTAATTATAATTTTAATAAAATTGCCAAAAATATTTTTATGGATTTTTTGTTACTGTTGTTGTTAATTGCGAAGTCGTGTCCGACCCATCGCGACCCCATGGACAACGTTCCTCCAGGTCTTCCTGTCCTCTATCATCTTCTGGAGTCTATTTAAGTTCACACCTACTGCTTCAGTGACTCCATCCAGCCATCTCATTCTCTGTCGTCCCTTCTTCTATTGCCCTCAATCTTTCCCAGCATTAGGCCCGTCTCCAGTGAGTCCTTCCTTCTCATTAGGTGGCCAAAGTATTTGAGTTTCAACTTCAGGATCTGGCCTTCTAAAGAGCAGTCGGGGTTGATCTCTTCTAGGACTGACCGGTTTGAACGCCTTGCAGTCCAAGGGACTCGCAGGAGTCTTCTCCAGCACCATAGTTCAAAGGCCTCAATTCTTTGGCGCTCAGCCTTTCTTATGGTCCAACTTTCACAGCCATACATTGCAACTGGGAAAACCATGGCCTGGACTATACGCACTTTTGTTGGCAGGGTGATGTCTCTGCTTTTTAGTATGCTGTCTAGATTTGCCATAGCTTTCCTCCCCAGGAGCAAGCGTCTTTTAATTTCTTGGCTGCAGTCCCCATCTGAGGTGATCTTGGAGCCCAGAAAAATAAAATCTGTCACTACCTCCATTTCTTCCCCATCTATTTGCCAGGAATTGAGAGGGCCGGATGCCATGATTTTGGTTTTCTTAATGTTGAATTTCAAGCCAACTTTTGCACTCTCCTTCTTCACCCGCATCAAGAGGCTCTTTAGTTCCTCTTCACTTTCTGCCATTAGAGTGGTATCATCTGCATATCTTAGGTTGTTGATATTTCTCCCGGCAATCTTAATTCCAACTTTTGATTCATCTAGCCCTGCCTTTCTCATGATGTGCTCTGCATATAAGTTAAATAGGCAGGCGACAGTATACAGCCTTGCCGGACTCCTTTTCCAATTTTGAACCAATCAGTGGTTCCGTGTCCAGTTCTCACTGTTGCTTCTTGACCCGCATATAGGTTTCTCAAGAGGTCTGGTACTCCCATAAAATCACTGATTTGGATACTGCAGTATTGAAACATTGAGTAAATTTTTTACTGTAACCAATTGATTCTAATAGCCACATTTATTCTTTTGATATGATTGTTTCTGGAAGAGATAACCCAGGAAGAATAAATTTTCTCTTTTTTTATATATAATTGGGGAGAAATTTCACTAATTTCTGCTTCTGTGGGTTCAGCTATATGTAAAAAAAAATACAAAACAGTGATGCTGGGGCATTCCAATTTTTAGAAAATGTACAAAATATTACTGTGTTAAAAGTACTTTTTAGAACAGGAGTTCCCAACCGGGGGTGCTTGTACCCCTTGAGGGTGCGAGATGATATTCCAGGGGGTGCAAGAACATGGGTTTTCAAAATTATAGTGTATATGCATAATTTCAAACTTTTTGTAAGGGGTACGAGAATATATCAGAAGCGTTCTAGGGGTGCAGGGTATAGAAAAGGTTGGGAACCACTATTTTAGAGAAAAGTATTGAATACTTTTTTTTAATAAATTTTGCTTTTTGTCTTTCAGCATCTCTCTTGAAAGGTCTGAAACATGCTAATATTGTGCTGCTTCATGATATCATCCATACAAAGGAGACACTGACGCTGGTATTTGAGTTTGTGGTAAGTTTATACAATTTTTTTTTTGCATTCTGTAACCTAAGCTAGAACAGTTAAAAACAGAGTGGCCACCACTGGATAAAAAAAAAACCTGTATAACTTGCATAATAGTCCATTTCTGCTGATGTTGTTTGGAGTATAATATAAAGCAGTATAATATAAAGCAGAGGCCCCAACCTTTTGGGCACCAAAGACCGGTTCTGTGGAGAAAGATTTTTCCACGTATCAGAGGAGGTGGTTTCGTGTGCTGCTTGCATCTAGCGATGGGGCTTTGCTTGTTTGTGCAGTCCGGTTGCTAGTATGCCACAGACTGGTGCCAGACCATGGACCGGTGGTTGGAGACACCTGATATAAAGGATATTTCATACTTAAAATACTGTGATAATCATTTCAGATATTGTTGTAAATGTTTTTTTCAGATGCATGAGACAAACCTGTTACAACTATCTTGAGTCTTTCCTTTCCCCTCTACTTTTTAGAGGTGTATAATTCATATAATTGTACTCATTTTTATAGTGTCTGTTCACTATCTGCAAACTACAACTTTGTGTTTAACTGCTTAGTTGATAGTGATAAAAGAACAAGAACTTGTATTTTGCATGAAAGGAGAGAGTAAAAATAAATGATAATCTCCCTAATATGAAACCAACATAAAAATATGCAAGATTTTTCAAGGAAAAATGGAGAGTTGGCCTTTCTTTAGCCACCCTTAGCAACCTAGTAACTTTTTTTTTCCAAGTTAAAAGTTTTATTCATTTATTTACAAGTAGTCTGTTATATAGCCCTGAAATAATTGAAATCTTTTTAAGTGGACTGTTTGGTAATTTTGATAAAAAATATACCATGATTGTAGATTCCAGAAAACATTGTGAGATTTGAAAAGAAATTTACAAGAGTTCAAAATTGTGTTTCTTTATTGCATCTGGAAATTCTCTTTTAATCATTTGTATCAGAAAACAATAGTAAGGATAATTTATACTTTGTAGCTTCTTTTCATTTGCATTTCAGCTATTAATTAAAATTTCAGCTTTCACAGTATCCAAATTAATGATGTAATTCTTTTCAGAGAATCATTTTATGAGGTTTAGATTTAAGCTCCTAATTAATCATCCTACATTTTCCTAAGACCATCATATAGTATTTATATAACTTGATTTCAGCATTTAGCTGCAGTATTGAATAATGAGTAATTATAATTAATCCTCAAATTTCTACAAATGGAAAAATAATTTATAATTTATAAGAAAGAAATTAATTTCAACTAGATTTAACTTCTGAATAACATAATTTTTATAGACGATAAATCTACATAAATAAATCTGCATATATATATACACATACACATACATACACACACACACACACACACACACACACAGACATACAAATCCCAGGTATATCTGTTCAATAATACACAATCTTCGAACTCAGGGAGGAATATAAATCAGCTGTTTATTGTTAAAAAATGTAAAACACTGAGACAGTGCCAATTCTGAGCACCCACCCCAGAATGACTGCAGGGAGACAGCTGGCGGATGCAAAGATAGGGTTGGCAAGGATGAGAGGGAGTGAATTCAGGAGCGAGCTGGCAGGCAGCCCAGCTGATTGCAGACAGATGGGATGGAAGGACGGGGCAGGGCTGCATGCACACACACTTAGACATGAGGAGAAACTGGGGAAAATACGACTCATGATGATAAACAGTGGAAGACAGGAGCAACAGACAGATAAATGGAGTGGAAGAGAAGGAAACAGCAGCGAAAGGGCACCTGGGATACTGGATCCGGACCCGCGACCCAAAGTGAGTGCGGGGGAGCGGCTAGAAAGCATACCAACGGCAACAACACCAGGAAGGAGAAGATGGACAAGGAGGGGAGGGAGAGAAGTTGTGCAAACAAGGGGAGGCGGGACAGTTAAGGCACTTACGGTCAGTCAGGACGAATGGCCCTATTACACGGTCATTGAGTAAGAAACTAGGTTATCAAGGCTTATAAGAGATCTCTCCACCTCCAATACTTCACTCTGAAGATGCTGACAGTGGATCAGCGAAAGCTAAGTTTGTTTTAATATTGTAAATAGTTGCTTTTATTGTTTTAATTTTTTTAACAATAAACAGCTGATTTATATTCCTCACGGAGTTTGAAGATTGTGTATTATTGAATACACACACACACACACACACACACACACACACACTTAATTTTACATGCTATTTTTATGTGGAATCCTCTCCTATTTTACTATAAACTGCTTGGATTGTCAGAAGGACTACTATTTCTATGATAAGGTAAAAGAATATTGTATGGCCTAGAGATGGGAAAAGATAACCCTATATACAGATATCAAAGCAGGGAGATGGAAGAGAGTGTGCTAACTACTGCGTCATTACATTAGCTCACAAGTAGTTCGTGTTACAAAGAAATATAAAGCCAACAGAGGAAAATGCCAAATTAAAAAAAACAGGCTAAACAAATGTTTAAAAATTTTTGCGTAGTCCTCAATTTGTGATCATTTGCTTAGTGATGGTTCTAAATTATGACAGCACTAAAATGATTTATGACCAATATTGCACTTATGACCATTTCAGTGTCCTTTTCATAGTCATGTGATTAACATTGGCAACTGGCTTGTATTTACGATAATAAAAGTCTATTGGGTTTCTTATTTGCAATTCTTCCCAATTGGCTTCCAACAAGCAAACTCATAGGGGAAATCTGGATTCACTTAAGGATACAGCAAAAAAGTTGTTAAGTTGGACATTACTCACTTAACAACCGCATTGCTTAGCGATGAAAGTTCTGCTGCCAAATGTGGTTGTAAGTCAAGTTCTACCAATATGTTTGCAAAATCTTTGTGTAAATTATATTAGAATGTAAGATGTATTTATTGCTATGAAGAGCTTCTATGATGAATAAGAAAGTAGTGTAAGTTTGAAAAAAAAAAAACAAGAGATGCAGAATATAAAGGGTCTCCTGCCTGTTAAATGTGTACAATTAATATATGGTGATGAGTTGGAAGAATTAACAGGTGAAAACTAAACTGAATAGTAACACTTTGAGATACACAGATGACAATATTAGCTGAAGGTACCTTATACTTAAACAGGTTATGAGAATAAAAATCTTCAGTGTTAAATATTAGAAGACAAAGGTAGTATCAAAGAACAATTAGTGAGCTTACATTTCAAAACATATCAATAAAGATTAAGATGATTTTCTTGAGTTCAGTATAGATAAGAATGGATAATATGCTGAAGATAAAGATGATGGTATCTGTTCAATGTCTTATTCACAGTGATTCTATGGACCGGCTGTCTCTACATTTTCCAATCTTGTACAGCTTCTTGAAAATTGTCTTAAAGTCTGGCTGGTGTTGGCTTTAGTGAAGTCTTGCCATCCTGATTTTTGGCAGGCTCCTTTTTTTTTAATTGCTAACCATTCTGAGCACAAATGCCTTTCCAGTCAGTTTTGAGCATAAATGCCTTTTCCAGCAATCACTGTGAGTCCAGTGATTGCATGGCATGGCCAAAATAAGTACAACAGAATTTTGTGATTTTTTTCCCTTGCAATGATATTTATACATCTAGTACATGCTTTGTCATCTTTGCTGTCCAAAGGATGCAAAGGGGCCTTATTCAGTACCACTGTTCAAATGAGTCAATTTTCATCATGTCTTAGTTTTTTCATAATCCAACTTTCACAATCATAAATAAATATGGAAAACACAATAGTGCAGACTAATCTGCATTTAGTTGCCAGGTAATTTCCTTGCTTTTTCATGCCCAATTCATGCTCATTATTGCTCTGTGACCCCATGTTATTTGACACTTTATTTCTGGACTGGATTCACTGCTTTGATCTTCAATCAGGAAAGTGAATTCTTGCACGCATTCAGTCTTTTCACTATCGGTTGTTATTTTGACATTTCATTCCTGCAGTGGTCATGAGTTTAGTGTTTTTGATATTCAGGATGAGGCTAAATTTCTCCCTTTCTTTGTTAACCATTTTGATTAGACCTTTTTTGGTTTCTGATAAAAATTTGTTAATGTTTTTTCCTCCAATCTGTGTTCTAATTTTTGATTCTTCAAGTCTAGGGTTCTCATGATAATTTCAATATGTGTTTGACCATCAGTCACCAAGAGATACGCCAGTGCAGTAATACCTAACAAACAATCCATAATATAAAATTATTTGTTGTTTCATTCTATCCAGAATAGCTTAGCATATCATGCAAAACCAATCAATTGAACAAGGAAGAGAAATAACCTATATGTAGATGTGAAACATTTAAAATAAGTATTGCCTGCAACATGGGAAGATACATTTTCCATTTGACTAACTGGTCTGTAGACAAAAAGGACAAATGGAATTATACTAGAAAAGGTTTATGCCTTTCTTTCAATAAACTAGCCAGTTGACTATATCTTTTAGGTGGCTTGCTTTTCTTAGAGATCCACTGTAGGCTAACTTGTCTTTATAAGGTTGTGCATAAAATGTCCTGTTTTGCTTGAACGCTTGCCAAAATAATATCCATTGATTGTAATAAACCTACACTGAATTAATTTAAGTGAATCTGCCTAAATGGACAAATAATACCTGCTTCATTTAATGAGGAGTAACCATTAGTAAAAATTTGTAATAGAATGTTTTCTAAATGGTAATAAATTGTTAGAAATGGTGGATAATACTTGCTAATAAATTGTCAATATTGTATGAAATAATGTAAATATTATCTCAATGATAATAGCAAAAAAATATTGAGAACATTAAATGATGCACAGCCAAAGGAGCAGGCAAGGTTCAGAAATGGCTGCAGCACAGTGGATCACATCCAAGTGATTCAGAAGTTATTGAAAGGCACAACTAATATACCATATCTCTTATGTATTTACATAAAGGCATTTGACTCAGTATTCCAGCAAGCAATAATTAAGACATTGCTCAACCAAAGCGTACATACTGCTTACATAAATTTACTATAATCAATATATGAAAAAATAATGG